CTAGTCTTTGGACCTCTCATCAGATTTTACCCAGGGGGGGAATCCAGGCTTCCTCTCATCAGATTTTACCCAGGGAGGGGGGAGTCCAGGCTACCTCTCATCTGATTTTACCCAGAACATAATTAAAAATTCTCCAAGAAGTAATAGAATGATAATTTAATATTTATGAAAATTTACAATCTAAACTTCCTAAATTGAATAAATTTCAAATGTATTTATATCATTAAAAACTAGAATATTTTTCATAAATAAATATAGAAATAGAGTTTAAAAATATTGGAAAAGGACCAGACAAATCTTGTTTTCTGGTTTCAAAATTATAATTCTAAATATGGCAAGATATGGGAAAATCAGGATTTGTAATTTGAAAGTGTTTAATTGTAAAGATGATATTTTGACATAATTTTGTTTAAAACCAATACCTTATTCTTGATAATATATTCAAATATTATATAATATATATAATATTCAAATATAATATATAATATTCATTTCCTTTGAATTACCTTAAAAATAAAATACTTCCTAATAATAATTATTTTTTTGTTGTTGATAATTTCACATGCCTGCGCTCTTTTTTTTAAAGAATATTTTTGAAGAAGGAAAATCTGCTAAAATACTTGTTATCTGATCTTGGTATCAAAATCTAATCATATTACGATATCAGTTTAATCTTTATACTCCTGCAACATATTAGAAGTTGGCTCTCTCGCACGAGGTTATCCTAAAATATAGTTCTAACAGTAGTTTCACAAAATTTGAACTGTAAATTCAAAACATTTGGCTTCTTGGATATCAGGCATAAGTATAAGATACTTTAAAGGTACACATGTCCAATTACCTTGCATGTACTATACTTTAACTCTCCTTCAAACAAAACTAGCAGAAAAAAGCATTGTTTCTAAAAAAATCGACATTTTAGTAATAACTAGTATTTAAACTATTTTTGTTCTTTACAGGTTTACAGGTTTAGGGGTGGGCACTGCCCCCCCCTTGTATACGCCCTTGCACCTATCTTAAACAAGTTAAATTACTGGGAACCGAATTTAATGATTTTTGGTTAAACTGCCTACCCTACCGCTGGTTTAAATTTGAAACACCGATTCCAACCGTTGAATCTTTAACTCTGAATCTGTGAATCAAATTTGAGGTAGTTTAAATTCATTAAATTCGGCCTCCGACTTGAACATAGTTGATGAAAACTAGTTAATTATGGATTTATTGATTGTGATATTTGATATTTAATGCAGGATTGTAAGATTGCAGGATTGCTTGGTAAATTGCTCTTGTTTGTTTGTTATGATTTATAAGTGATATGAATGTTTTGTAAATACTAGATATCTAGATTTTTTTGTAAAGATATCCCAGGGGTATACACAATATACATACAGTGAGACCGATAAAGCTGTTTAATAGGAAGACGGCATTTACGCAATTTTACGTGTTTATGTCTGTATTTACTGAAAAGCTCTACCGGTAGCTTAAAAAGAAACTTGTTAAGCAAAATATTTTAAAAAAAAACTGTCGTCTTCCTATTCCACAGTTCCATTGGTAGCTGAATATAAATATATGAACAAATATTTTCCCTGTATTCTCCTCTATTTTCATGTATTCTCTTGTATTATTCCGTATTCTCCTGTATTATTCTGCATTCTCCTGTATTTTTCTGTATTCTCCTGTAAACTCCAGTATTCTCCTGTATTCTCATGAATTCTCTTGTAATATTCGTATTCTCCTGTATTCTCATGAATTCTCTTGTATTATTCCGTATTCTCCTGTATTATTCTGCATTCTTCTGTATTATTCTGTATTCTCCTGTAAACTCCAGTATTCTCCGGTATTCTCATGAATTCTCTTGTAATATTCGTATTCTCCTGTATTCTTATGAATTCTCTTGTATTATTCGTATTCTCCTGTATTATTTCTGTATTCTCCTGTTTTCTCCTGTATTATTGTATTCTTCTGTATTCTCCTGTATTCTCCTATATTCTCCTGTATTCTCCTGTATTCTCCTGTATTCTCCTGTAATCTCCTGTATTCTCCTGTATTCTCCTGTATTCTCCTGTATTCTACTGTATTATCCTGTATTCTCCTGTATTCTCCTGTATTATTGTATTCTTCTGTATTCTCCTGTATTCTCCTGTAATCTCCTGTATTTTCCTGTATTCTCTTGTATTCTACTGTATTATCCTGTATTCTGCAATATTTCAGGTGTGTTCCTCTAATCTCCGGCGTTTTCCTAGTTTCGTCAATGGTTTCTCTCTATCCAGAGCAAGAGAGCCTCCAGTCGCTATGGGCCCTGATCCTCCAATAGTACCTTTAACTCGAACCTGTGCGGATCATGTTCAGATTCATGAACTTGATCCAGTTCACCAACACAATTTTAACAATCTGCACACTATACATGTAAATAATACAAAGTGAATCCCAGCCCAGAACTAATGATGGATACAGTTACGCACAACATTAGTGGTGGAGTAGCTTCTCCATCAAGCTCCAACAATGCTGGAGTCTCTACACAACAGTACAAACATAAAAGAAAATTTATAAACAAGTTCTTTAGTGAGCCTGTTGAAGCTCTTGATCTGACGCTGACCAAGGCTGAGGAGATCTTCTCAATGGAAGAATGGGTGGGAAACCCACTAAAACAGGAGATGAATCAGACCATCAAGATTGAGATTCCAGCTCTAGATTATAGTGAAGTACAGCTTGTTGATAGTCCTAAAGAATCTCCTCAGGATAGTTTCAATCCACCCCAGAGTAATATCCCCCCACTCATTGCAAAATACTCTCAGGTGTCTCCACAGTCATTGCCTCTCAACACCAGGGATATACAAAGAGTTATACTAAAACCTAGTCAAGAGGCATATAAAAATAAGTCCCCAAGATCACCCTATGCCCCACTTCGTTACTCCCCTTACCACACTGAGAGATGTGGTTCACCCTACAGATCATCAACCGATATAGGGTATACTAGACCTTTCCTTACTGTACCATCTCCTTACTATGTTGGCACCTCTCCGACTGGATCTCCTAACCGCTCATATAGCTTAGAGGATCAAAGGAAATCTCTGAACAGATCTGAAATACCAGGAGAACCCTACAGCTCCATCTCAAAGGCTAATGATTTGCTTTGCATGGTTTCTTCCCCTGAAGATTCCTTTAAACATTCCAACTGTAATGATCAGAATTCCCCTCGACACAGTAAACCAGGCCTTGAAAAAGACTCAGCTGAACTGTCTTGGGCTAAACAGTCAGTTCAGAGAACTCAGCGAATCTCTCAGTACCCTCAACGAATATCAGTAATAGAGAACTCATCTGGGTACTCAAAGATGGATCCTGATTGGCTCGAAACTTTGCAGCACAGAAGACTGGTGACAGAAGGAACTGATCTTGATACAAGGATTGCCATGATGGAGAATAGCTCAGCTCTACAAAATCCCCTTGCTCATGGGGTATTGGAGACATTAGATACACAAACTCCAAAGTCCCCACCCTTACACTCATCCAGATCAAGCAACACATCAATGCATGGTGAGAGGTTGCCCTACAATAGACTCTCTCCGAAAACCGTTCCTAGATCTTACTTCAATGAGGTATCTTCTCAGAAAAATCCATTCCTCCGTCATGAGAATCCAAACTTGGGGTCTTTCCACATCACACCTTCAGAGGGGTACATACGAAGATCTCAAGAACTTATCAGGGATTCAATGAGAATTGAGAATCCACAGAACATCTTCTTGAACAGAGATCAAAGAGACTTATCTGGTAATATTTTAGACTCTGCTAGGTTCTCTAATGTATTCTCTGGAGGTCAGGATAGGAATGGGTGTCATGGTACAGATAAAGTCCGATCACCTTTATCCAACCTACATAAACGAAAAAATTCTGTTATTGTTCATCACCGCAGTGATGAAATCAAGTCTGAGGTACCTGATGTCACCGAGGGTAATGATGTATGTATTCCCCAGCATCTTCCCTTTGTTCCAAAAGATTTTAGTTCTTGGCTAAATTTACAAGCTAGGATGAGACTTCAAGATATGTTTAGAAACTCTGAGAAGATTAAATCTGGTGGTGGACCAGTTCATGGTGGAGTATTCTCAAGCAACTTCAATCATGGAGGCTATCTTCAGTCTACACAGTTCTCCAACCTCAACTTTGATAACAAAGCCAGTCGAAAGTTTTTTGAACCCTCTAGCCAAAGTAAGGATTTCAAAACGGACAAGGATCATCATTTCTTCCCTAAAAATGAATATGTCACAGACCATGATTCCAGATCATTACCACAAGATCTAGATCAAGAAATGGAGGAGGAGGATGAAGCTCCTGAATCAGGTCATGCTAAGGGAAAGCGTGGTCGACCGCGTAAACATGCACCAAAGGTTCCACTGCCCCCCCTCTACGTTTTTATACGGAACTTACTGCATAACCCTGCATACAACCCATCAGTCGTGACCTGGGTCGATGAGTCAACTGGATGCTTTAAGGTGACCAGTACAATAGAGTTTGCGAAAACCTGGGGGAAAATGAAATCTAACAGGTAAAATATCCTTGTTTCTCACAATTGATTGTAGAGACAACATTGACGAATGTGTGGTTTATTAGAAAAAAAAACAATTAGCAAAATTAATTTAAATAAAATTTTTTTGTTTTTTTTTAGATCCTTATCTATAAGATTATCGGAAAATATGATAAGATATGCTTTATAAACGAAAACAATCTTTTACGAAGAATTTATTGTTAAGTTATAAATTAAAATAAGCACAGGAAGAAAACTAACTTCTATAATTGTTTAACATTTATTATATTGTTAAATCTAGATCCGAGGAAATGAACTATGAAAAGATGTCGCGAGCTATGCGCTACCACTACGGGTCCGAACGTCAGGGGAGGAAAGGTCATCTTGCTATGGTGAAGGAGAAACGGCTTTTCTACAGGTTATAGTACTATAATATGTTACGAACCGGTGATTTTATTCCATTTTTAAAAAAAAAGTAATTTGCGCAATAAGTAAAAAACTTTTTTGTTTGTTTTGTGTTATAGATTTTGTTTTTTTTTTCAATTCATTGATGTCTTAGTATAACTTAGATTTTATGACTGAAAGATGCTATAGTTTTAATTTTCTAAGTGACCTTAATTCCACACATGGGCATGTCAGGATCATCAACGGTAACTTTGTCAAGATAAATAGTGTCGAGGATATCGTCTTCTTATAACTTGAAAAGTTTAATTCTTACAATTTCCTTTATTGTTTAGTTAACAGAACTCAGTAAATCACTTATATAAATTAAAATAAACAATACTTGAAAATAATTGATTTTCAAAGTTAAAAACATTTAAAACTAATTTGTTCTTCACCGTACAAAGCTTTACAGGGTACCTTTGGGAATCCGACATTTCACTTCCAGACAACTTTTTATTGGATTTCCTTGTCAGAAATATTTACAATCTATTTATCTAGTTTTTACACAAATCTGATTATCTCAAGATTACTTATTCATATGAGAGTCAGAGAATTTGTTCGAAAATATCAACAAAGTTAAACTAATTTGATAATGACTCACATTTATGTCATAGACAATAGACATATGTTTATACTAGGCTGTCAGGGCGCTTCGCGCCCATCTTCTAGTTCTATTGTAAACATTTTCTCTTCATATACATTATAATACAATAACGAAAAAAACTGACTTTATAATATGTGTTTGTGCATTTTTAAAATTTGATGAAAATCGAAATTTGTTGGAGGCTAATTTTGAATTTTTGATAATCCATTAACCTTCCCTGCGGTCATGTGATATCCCATAAAAGATTTTGGCCCAATTGGTTCAGACGTTTTGACGTTTATCGGCTACAAACAAACAACGAAACACCCAAACAGAAAAGCAAAGTATATGTATAAAGATGAACATTATACTTTATTTATTTATGGAAAATATCAATATATAGAAATCAGAAAACTAATTGAATTATTTTTAGCTTTTATATAATTAGCAGAACACGGAAAATAATTTAATAATCAGTATGTGGGGAGATGGGGGGGGGGAGAGAGGGGGGGCGTGAGGGTTTAGATTTAAAAACAAGTATATTTTTTTCTTCATTTTTTCTAGATCCTCCCCTTTGTTATTTTTACTTTTAATAATTTAGACTTTTACTTTAATCTCATTTTTCATTATTAGATTTGGTGAGCTAGCGATAAATTGGCGAAGTAGCGAAGTATCATTGTTGCTTCAGCCCTGCTCCCAGCATCAGCTGTGCAGGAACCATATTTGTCTGTGGACCAAAGAGTAGATCTTATATTCTCGCTTTATCTACTCTACATACGCTCTCTTTTTTCCATGTTTTGATTTCTAATGAAAAAGATTGATACGGGGTGAGCTATAAAACCGATAAAGCTTTGTTATAGCTTAGTAAATAAGAGACTTTATTGTTTCCTGTTCTGTAAAAAAAAAAAAAAAACGGGTCTGGGAAAAAAGACTTGTTCCTTCAGAATATTTTCAAAGAATGCTCTGGAAGCAAATTAAGTTTGGGCGCTGAACACCCTTGTTATCCTTTAATAGCTCACTCTGCATCTACAAATATATATTTATTTTAAAAACTGGTTCTGCGTGTAATGAATGTGCCCTTGGTTAACCTACAGATCCAGTTATTTTTATCTGTGATACTAATACAGTAAACTATCTTATTCTAAGCATTCGGTAATATTAAAAGGATACATGATATTCGGGTCGTACAGGTGGTCCTTGTTTCACAGACAGAACAAAATTTAAAGAAAAAACTTTTTCTTTTTTGGTAAACTCAATATGAAAACTGAATAGACAATAAGTCCTTAAATAATTTTTATTACATGTTCTGACTAATTCCTACCTATGTCCTCCATTAACTTAACAAAACAACATTTGAAACATTTATCCCCTTAAGTCAGCTGATGCTTACGGTCCGCTAATACTTGAGGTCAGAACATACTTGAGGTCAGCTAATACTTGAGGTCAGCTAATACTTGAGGTCAGAAGATACTTGAGGTCAGAATAAACTTGAGGTCAGCTAATACTTGAGGTGGTATAAAACTAAGGTCAGCTAATACTTGAGGTTAGCTGATACTTGAGGTGAGCTGGTACTTGAGGTCAGCTAATACTTAAGAGGTCAGCTAGTACTTGAGGTCAGCTTATATTTGAGGTCAGCTTACACTTGAGGTCAGCTGGTACTTAAGGTCTGCTTACACTTGAGGTCAGCTGGTACTTGAGGTCAGCTTATACTTGAGGTCAGCTTATACTTGAGGTCAGCTTACAGTTGAGGTCAGCTGGTACTTGAGGTCAGCTTATACTTGAGGTCAGCTTATACTTGAGGTCAGCTTATACTTGAGGTCAGCTGGTACTTGAGGTCAGCTGGTACTTGAGGTCAGCTTATACTTTAGGTCAGCTGGTACTGAAGGTTAGCTGATACTTGAGGTCAGCTTATACTTGAGGTCAGCTGGTACTTAAGGTCAGTTGGGGCTTGAGGTCAGCTCATACTTGAGGTCAGCGGGTACTTGAGGTCAGCTTATACTTAAGGTCAGCTGGTACTTGAGGTCAGCTTATACTTAAGGTCAGCTGGTACTTGAGGTCAGCTTATACTTGAGGTCAGCTTATACTTGAGGTCAGCTTATACTTACGGTCAGCTGGTACTTGAGGTCAGCTTATACTTGAGGTCAGCTGGTACTTGAGTTCAGCTTATAATTAACGTCAGCTGGTATTTGAGGTCAGCTGGTACTTAAGGTCAGCTTATAATTAAGGTCAGCTGGTTCTTGTGTAAATTGTACTGTGTTCTGCGCAGAGTACTCCACTCTCCAATAAACACTATTATATCTTCGGTCAGTGTACTGCAAATTACTGCAGAACGCACTAACAGCTCAGTTGAAGATGTCTCAACAACAACGCGTATTTTTAAAAATTTCTGTTAGTAATATTTATACTAATTAACAAAATGCTTGTCCTTAACCTAGAAGAAATCAAAATTATTTAGTAAACGTTTCTCTATTATTATAATATTTAAGAAAAACTAATCTTTTCGTAGTCAGACAGAATCTTTTTTTAAAATCTCAATACTTTCTAAATTTTAAAATTATTACATTCTTCCTCTCCTTTCAGTTTATAATCAAAAATAAAATATTCTTGTCATTTCAAATCTCAGACATAAATGTATTTTATAAACAGCTGTCAAAAAAAGTATGTTTTCATGAAAAGTTGTTGCTCGGCTTGCATTCAACATTAAAGGAAAATAAAAGCTTGATAAAAGAGAGGTTTTGACAGTTCATAATTTTGTTCAAATTTTGTACTGAAAAATGATCTCATTCAAATATTGTATTTTTAACAATTTTTTGGAATGAAGTTCTTGTATTCTCAGTGTTCACCTTAACCAATTTATTTTAAACAGAAAAAATACCTCTTTTGCAAACGCTCAAAAAACAGGAGCTTAATCTAGTTTTCACATTTTTGAAAATTTATCCAATTAGAAAAATTTAGAAAATTGGAGTTACATTTTCATCTACTTTTTTGATTCTAAAAGGTTATGAAGTTAAAAGTGAATCGACGAAGAGACATTACAGTATATAACTTCTTAATCTATTAAAATCTTTAAAACTTGTTGAAAATCTAACTCAAATTTATTATTTTTGTATTTTCAAAGTCTGGAAATTTTGTAATTTTGTCAGTTAAGATTTACAGGTTCTGCATTGTTTACATCAGACTGATCCAAAAAGCTATCTGATAAAATATCATTTTTTTATAGAAAATCATTCTAACATGAAAAACGATTCGCCAGTAACAAGAATTGATAATTAAAGTCAGAAAAGTGATGTGATACAAATATCTATATTATATATATCAATGTTAAAATATCTATAATCATGTAATGTATGATGATGTATGTGCTGTTAAACCGTTTAGTGTAAAAACGGTATTTTTTGTTGCACAAACAAAACTCGTTGTTATTCCGTGCACCCTGCAGGCTGCATATTTAATCCATCCAGTCAGACAATTAGGAATCCAAGTCTATTTCGAAATTCGGAAAAATTTCCTCTGGAAAAGCTCAATGTTAATGTGTTTATTGTTGTGGGGCACCAATATCACAAATGTGCTAAATGTTAAGCAAAATAACAGAAATTACAGGTTTTTCTTTTTTCTTTTTGTAAAATCTAATTTGAAAGATCAAATTCAGGATGTAAAGTTTGCTCAACGGAGCTTGGATAAAAGAATATTTATCTAAGCTAAAACATTGTTTTCCAAGCTTAAATACAGTTTTCGAAGCTAAAAAACTATTTTCTAAGCTTTAAAACAGTTTTCCAAACTTAGAAACTATTTTCTAAGCTTAAATAATTTATTCTTTGAATACTGTTTTCTAAGCTTAAATACTGTTTTCTAAGCTTAAATACTGTTTTCTAAGCTTAAATACTGTTATCTAAGCTTAACTATTGTTGTCTAAGTTTACATATAGTTTTCTAAGCTTAATTAGGCTCTTCTAAGCTTAAATACTGTTTTCTACGCTTAAAAACAGTGTTCTAAGCATAGTTTTCTACGCTCAAATACTTTTTTGTTAGGTCGAATACCGTTTTCTAAGCCTAAAGATTGCTTTTTTAGCTTAAATACCGTTGTCTAAGCTTTAACACTGCTTTCTAAGATTAAACACTGTTTTCTGAGCTTGAATACTGTTTTCTAAGCTAAAATATGGTTTTCTAAGCTTAAATACAGTTTTTTAAGCTGAATTACAATTTTCTAAACTTAAATATATATATATATGGTTTTATTGAACACCGTTTTCTAAGCTTAAATATTGTTTTTCTAAGCTTGAATACAGTTTTCTAAGCTGAAATACGGTTTTCTAAGCTTAGTAAAGTTTTCTAAGCTTAAGTACAGTTTCTAAGCTTAAATTCAGGTTTCTAAGCTTAAATACAGTTTTCTAGGCTTAATTTCAGTTTTCTAAGCTTAAATATAGTTTTCCAAGCTGAAATACGGTTTTCTAAGCTTAAATACTGTTTTGTTAGTTTGAATACCGTTTTATAAGCTTAAATATTGTTTTGTGAGCTTAAATACTGTTTTCTAAGCTTAAACACTGTTTTCTAAGCTCAAATACAGTTTACTACGCTGAAATAAAGGGTTTTAAGCTAAAATACAGTTTTTAAAGCCTTAATACTTGTTTGTAAGTACTTCAGCACGTACATTTTGGCTTAATCTAAGAGATGTTTAAATCCATTTTCTATGACTATATTAAGTGATGTTTAAACAACGAATGAACTAAAATTATTGTACTAAATTTGTTTACATTCTTTGTTCATACATTACATAGCGTTGTTGTACAACTTGGTACATATTTCTATGTATATTGTACATGTCTGTACATGAAACCTGTTTTTGTTGTCGTAACAGTCAAGTGTGCTGTATTCACCAGTATCGGTTCTGCAGTCTCAATATTGTGAAAAATATAATATTTAATTTTTAGATTATGTTTTATTTCATTTGTTAGTGTTTCTAAATCTCAAAAACACAACTTTGTTCGACCCGATATCAGAAGAGAAGTTAGAAGTTAGAAGTTAGAAATTAGAAGTTAGTAGATAGAAGTTTAGAAGTTAGAAATTAGAAGTTAGAGGTTAGAAGTTAGAAGTTTGAAGATAGATTTTAAAAGTTAGAAGTTTAGAAGTCAGAAGTTAGTAGTTAGAAGTTAGTAGTTAGAAGTTTAGAAGTTAGAAGTTTAGAAGTTAGAAGTTACAAGTTAGAGGCAAAGAAATTAGAAGTCGGAAATTAGAAGTTAGAAGTTAGAAGATAGAAGTTAAAAGTTACAAGTTAGAAGTTAGAAATAAAGAAATAAGAAGTTAGAAGTTAAAAGTTAGAAGTTGGAAGTAAAGAAATTAGAAGTTGGAAGTTGGAAGTTAGAAGTTAGAGGAAGAAGGAAAGAAAATCAAATCTTTGCAAAAAAAAGGCAATTAGAGCAGTAAATAATAGTTCATTTAAATCACATTCAGATCCAATATTCAACAGATTAGAACTTCTAAATCTTGATGATACATATAAACTAGGTGTTCTATCTTTTATGCATAAATACTTTTATAAAAACCTTCCAACTTCCTTCCATGATATGTTTAATTCTTTAGCTGAACCAAATAGAACAAAATCTTATAAACTTGAGCGGGTTCTTTTTAAAACGCTAGAATATTTTCCTTCCGCTTTATTTCCAAAATTATGGAATTCGATTGAATTAGAGCGTAAAGAAACTAGATCTGCAAAACTGTTTAAAAGAAAAATCTTCAAAAACTATTTAGATAGCTATACAAGTTATATTTGTAAAAAAGTAACTGTTTTTTATGTGGATAAACCTAGTCTTTGCTATCTTCTTCACCCTGTAATTCATAAACATGATTCTAATGATATATGTTACACAGTTACCCTCTGTTACAACCCTTCCACTGAGTACCCACCCTTTCCCTCATACTTTTTCACCCCCTTCTTACCTTATTCATGATTTATCATCATTGTTTTGTTTAAAATGTACACTAGGTACTGTGTACATCTATCTATTTATTAACAATTCTTATTCGCTAATAATGGGCCAACCAATCAAAACAACCAACTCTGGTTAGGCGGGTCCAAACTACATAGTAAATTGTGATTTTTTAGTTGTATTATCTCGTGCTTTGTAGTTGAATAAAAATATGAGAATATGAATGAATAATGTTAAACCAATGGAATGTTTGTACTTTATATTGGATCTAAACTATTTACAATTTAAAAACATATTATTGTTTAAAACATGCAGAGCTGGGAAGTTGGTAACTCTTGTATTATGGATATCGAGATTAAGCTGCTAGATAGCAATCTTTTATTAATCAAAAGATTATCGACATTTTTGATCGATATCCCACGTGAAATTGTGCCCTGAAAAAATGGCTGAAATGAAGAATTCCTCAAATTAATAATGCTCTCTGTGGATATCGAGATCAAATGATTGAGATTATGAGTATCCGACAAAAAGTTGTATAACTAAAAAAGGGTGTATAAAGGGTGTATAAAGGGTGTATAAAGGGTGTATAAAGGGTGTATAAAGGGTGTATAAAGGGTGTATAAGGGTGTATAACTAAACTTAACACTAGCGAGAAGATTAAGCCATACACTTTGAAGTGAAAGCTTCTTTGGAAAGTAAAAATGGAAATTTAAACCATTTGTTTTACGATTGGAACTATGAATGTGTAAAGTTTATATAAGCACAATTGATGTAACCAAAAAATAGTGGAATAATGAATGTGTAAAAGTTTATATAAGCACAATTGATGTAACCAGAAAATAGTGGAATAATGAATGTGTAAAGTTTGTATAAGCACAATTGATGTAACCAGAAAATAGTGGAATTATGAATGTGTAAAGTTTGTATAAGCACAATTGATGTAACCAGAAAATAGTGGAATAATGAATGTGTAAAGTTTGTATAAGCACAATTGATGTAACCAGAAAATAGTGGAATTATGAATGTGTAAAGTTTGTATAAGCACAATTGATGTAACCAGAAAATAGTGGAATNTAAACAATTGGTTGGATATAAGGAGAACTGAACAAGGTGGGATTACAAGGAGAACTGAACTACCTTGGTTTACAAGGATAACTGAACTAGGTTGGATTACAAGGAGAACTAAACAATTGGTTGGATATAAGGAGAACTGAACAAGGTGGGATTACAAGGAGAACTGAACAAGGATGGATTACAAGGAGAACTGAACAAGGTTAGATAATATGGATAATTGAATTAGGTTGGATTACAAGGAGAACTGAACAAGGTGGGAATACAAGGAGAACTGAACTAGGCTGGATACAAGGAGAACTGAACTAGGTTGGATTATAAGGAGAACTGAACTAGGTTGGATTATAAGGAACACTGAACACGGTTGGATTACAAGGAGAGCTAAACAAGGATGGATTACAAGGAGAACTGAACTAGGTTGGATTACAAGAAGAACTAAACAAGGTTTGATTACAAGGAGAACTGAACTAGGTTGGATTACAAAGAGAACTGAACAAGGTTAGATTACAAGGAGAACTGAACTAGGTTGGATTACAAGGTGAACTGAACAAGGTTGGATTTTAAGGAGAACTGAACAAGGTTGGATTACAAAGAGAACTGAACAAGGTTGGATTACAAGAAGAACTGAACAAGGTTGGATTACAAGTAGAACTGAACAAGGTTGGATTACAAGGAGAACTGAAGAAGTTTGAATTACATAGAGAACTGAACAAGGTTGGATTAAAAGGAGAAGTGAAGAAGTTTGGATTACGTGGAGAACTAAACAAGGTTAAAATACAAGGAAAACTGAACAAGGTGAAGGTTGGATTTCAAGGAGAACTGTAAAAGATTGGATTACAAGGAGAACTGAACAAGGTAAAATTACAAGGAGAACTGAACAAGGTTGGATTACAAGGAGAACTGAAGAAGTTTGAATTACATGGAGAACTGAACAAGGTTGGATTACAAAGAGAACTGAACAATGTTGGATTACAAGGAGAACTGAACAAGGTTGGATTACAAGGAGAGCTAAACAAGGTTGGATTTCAAGGTGAACTGAACAAGGTTGGATTTTAAGGAGAATTGAAATAGGTTGGATTACAAGACCTATTTCAAATCTCCTTACAAGAAGAACTGAATAAGTTTGGATTACAAGAAGAATTGAACAAGGTTGGATTACAAGAAGAACTGAACAAGGTTGGATTACAAGAAGAACTGAACAAGGTTGGATAACAAGGAGAACTGAACAAGGTTGGATTACTAGGAGAACTAAACAAGGTTGGACTACAAGGAGAAGTTAACAAGGTTGGATTAAACAGAGTACTGAACAAGGTTGGATTACAAAGAGAACTAAATAAGGTTGAATTACAAGAAGAACCGAACTAGGTTGGATTACAAGGAGAACTGAACAAGGTTGGATTAAAAGGAGAACTGAACAAGGTTAGATTACAAGGAGAACTGAACAAGGTTGGATTACATGGAGAACTGAACAAGGTTGGATTACAAGGAGAACTGAACAAGGTTGGATTACAAGGAGAACTGAACAAGGTTGGATTACAAGGAGAACTGAACAAGGTTGGATTACAAGGAGAACTGAACTAGGTTGGATTATAATGAGAACTGAACTAGGTTGGATTATAAGGAACACTGAACACGGTTGGATTACAAGGAGAACTAAACAAGGTTGGATCATAAGGAGAATTAAAATAGGTTGGATTAAAAGACCTATTTCAAATCTTCTTACAATTAAGAATTAAATTAAGAAGAACTGAATAAGGTTGGATTACAAGGAAAACTGAACAATTTGTTGGATCAAGAGAAGAACTGAACAAGGTTGGATTACAAGGAAAACTGAACAATGTTGGATCAAGAGAAGAACTGAACAAGGTTGGATTAAACGAAGAACTGAACAAGGTTGGATTACAAGAAATGCTGAACAAGGTTTGATTAAACGGAGAACCGAACAAGGTTGGATTACAACCAGAACTGAACAATTGGTTGGATTACACAGAGAATTGAACAAGGTTAGATTACAAGGAGAACTAAACAAGGTCATATTTGTCAAAATGACAAAGTTACAGTCGATATGTGGGGTTAGGTAAAGAAATTGTTAAAAAGTACGAAATATTCTTGGCGGGAAAATAAAACATTTCTGATGGGAAAATTTTTTAGTCCATTTGTTGCACAGTAAAGCTCGATTTTTGTTCTTTTGCACTATAAATGTTCAATACAACCCTGTTTCTGATCAGCTGACTTTAGGAGAACTTCCTTGTAATGCAACCTTGTTTAGCTCTCCTTGTAATCCAACCTTGTTTAGCTCTCCTTGTAATCCAACCTAGTTCATTTCTCCTTGTAATCTAACCTTGTTCAGTTCTCCTTGTAATCCAACCTTGTTCAGTTCTCCTTGTAATCCAACCTTGTTCAGTTCTCCTTGTAATCCAACCTTGTTCAGTTCTCCTTGTAGGTCGGATGTGTAGTAAACCGGATTTGGCCTAGGTCAGAAGTGGAGTATAGCGGATTTGCGTAGGTCGAAACCATGGCACCTAACTGCAAAGACGACAAGACTAAAAAAAGAGTTGGACGCGGAAATTGTTTAAAATAGTAATAGAATTTGCGCGTTGCCTTGCCTGGTACTGCTAAGATTGATGTGGTTCCGTCAAACTATTAACGACCTAAATTAGGTCCAGTTTACTATAGTGTTACATCCAGATATCATTCAGTATGACAGACCCGACATGAGCCGGGAATCTTTGTATTGGAATTAGAGTCCATAAAATTCAGCTTTTCTGTAGACAAAACTTATTACAGAAACTGTGATGACGCACTTTTAAATTCTGTAATCTACAAGTTAAGTCTAGAAATCTCAGATTCAATCCAAAATTTCCTACCTGGTTTATTTTGAAATTAATATATTGTCACCACCTGGATATCTGGTTTTTGAACAAGTGTCTTAACCTAACCTTACCTAAACTAAATACTTTAATCTTATATGTAAGACATGCATATAATTGACCATGTGGCCAGGGGCGGACATAAGGATTCTGTAGGGGGGGGGTAAATATTTTTAATTTGGCGCGCGAAGCGC